GGTGAGACTTCCATGCAGCCTTCCCACTGCTAGAGGTTCCACCCCAACCTCCATTTTGTTCATTTGGGGTGGGGTGGGGGATGGAAGAATCCTGCTTCTGCAAACCTTTGAGGAAGATGATTTACCACCCAGGTGTCCTGCTTAGAAAGAAGGCTGCCAGCTAGCACTGAGGCAGGAACAGGGCACTGGGCTGAAACGTGGCCTAGCTAAGTCTCAAAAACCTTCCAATTTAGGCCTTTCTCCGAGGTGCATCCTATTGAGGTGTTTCTCAGGTGCCTGCAAGGTAGGTAGAACTCTCAGAATGGAGAATTATAGTATCTGTGGCCCAGAAAAACACCTTCTCTATTCACAGTTTTACCATACTTTGACTCCTGTATCTTTTTCCCCCCACTGAAAAACAATGATTTTAAAGGGAAAGTGGACTTCAGTCTGCTATTGGCATCACTGAGAAAGAGTGGTGTAAGCCATGGCTGGGCTGTATTGCCTCCTGGGCCCTCATAAGTTGCCGTCAAACAATGGTTTAGTTTTATATATCCATACGATGAATAATGTCGTTCTTGTTGAGCTACTCCAATTTCAGTGGGGCTGTGAATCCAGCCCAGGACTGTGAATCCAGTCCAAATCTTAAAGGAGCCATCCAAGTTACTGAACTTTTGGGGGTCGGCGTTGGTACTTTGGACAGCCTTCCACCTTTCCAGCAGCCACCAAGTTGGATTTTTGCCTTTTTTGTTTTGTTTTCCTTCTCTGGTCCTGCCCCTTCCCCGTAACTGTCCTCGTTTGCTTGATGCCTGGAAGGAAGAGATTTCTTGTTGAGCTGGTGACTGGATTAACCTCACTGTTTTAATTCTTCCCTCAGGCAAATGGTGGAATTTGTTTCCTGCGGTATGATGACACAAATCCTGAAAAGGAGGAGGAGAAGTATTTTACAGCTATTCGTGACATGGTGGAATGGTTAGGTAGGCCCACGAGAAGGACTGTACAGTGGGGTCTCGACTTAAGAACTTAATCCGTATTGGAAGGTGGTTCTCAAGTCGAAAAGTTCTTAAGTCGAATCTGCATTTCCCATAGGAATGCATTGAAAACCATTTAATTCGTATCTGCTCTTTTCTGTCCATAGAAACTAATGGGAAGCTGCTATTCTGCCTTCTGCCACTAGAGGGGGATATTTTCTTTCTTTTTCCCCCTTAGGTTCAGGGAAGGCAGGGAACACTAAAGGCAGCACTTTAGAACTCTTTTTTTAAAAAACGAAGCCAATTTTAAATAATGTTTTAAAGCATGTTGTGCTGATTTTTTCAGCACAAAGGCACTCAGGCAGGCTTTTTAGGTGCTGAGCAAGCCTCC